CCACCTTTATATGGCTTCTGATGACTGAGCTTAGGTTGTTAGGCTGGTGTTGTTGCAGTTTAAAAAGCTCCTCAAAGGTAAGTCACACCATGCAACAAGGCTCACATAAGAGGTTTATTGTGAGAGGAGAGAGAAGGGGGCAAAGAGAGGGGTGGGGGAGGGGAAGGGGGAACAGAGACCCATCCCTGGGGACAAGAGTGGCGGGAGAGAGAGAGGAGAGACAGAGAGAGAGAGAGAGAGAGAGAGAGAGAGAGAGAGAGAGAGAGAGAGAGAGAGAGAGAGAAGTGGGGGCCAAGGCCCACCTTTTACACGGGAATGTAGTGAATGTGCACAGCAGGTGCTCTTAGTGGCTGCAGCTGAGGATGTGTCCTGTTAGGACCCCATGGGCAGGCCAGTACAGATGCCTGAATACTAACAAGTGTAGCGAGTCCCACTGAACCATTTGTTAGTGTCCTCTTTTATTTTTCTGGGGCCTGGGGGAACAGGGTCTCATACTAAGCCTGGCCTGTAATTCACTATGTAGCTGGTCATCTTGCTTTTACCTATGTAATTAAAAGGTTTGCATCTCTCAGTTTATGTAGTATGGGGCATTGAACCCAGAACCTTCCTGCATGATCTCTAGGCATGTATGCTCAGGTAGGCGCTGCTCTAGCAATGAACTATAAGCACTGTGCCAAGTAAGTTACAAGCACTCATCAACTAAACGACAAGTACCCTACCAACTAAGCTACAAGCACTGTGCCAACTGAGCTGTTTCCTCAGGCTCCTTAATTGGCAGACAAACAAATAAAGAAAATGTGGGCATAAGGTATGGTGGTACAGGCCTATAATCTCAGTTATGCCAGAGGGCAGTATAATCAGGAGGTCACTCTGAGAAACTTTCAAAACTCTGTCTCAAAGGAAACATTAAAGAGGATGGGGGAGGGGCTTGAGAGTTATCTCAGCAGTTGAGAGCACTGGCTGCTCTTCCAGAGATCCTGAGTTCAATTCCAAGCAACCACAAGATGGCTCACAACCGGAGCTGGAGAGATGGCTCAGAGGTTAAGAGCACTGACTGTTCTTCCAGGGGTCCTGAGTTCAATTCCCAGCAACCACGTAGTGGCTCCAACCATCTACAATTCAATCTGGTGTCCTCTTCTGGAATACAGGCAGAACACTGTATATGTAATAAATAAATCTTAAAAAAAAAAGATGGCCCACAACCATCTATAATGAGATCTGGTGCCCTCTTCTGGCAGCAGGCAAACATGCAGGCTGAACACCCACTCACACACTAAGGACAGAAGGACTAGGCATGCCCTCTACTAAAGAAAGAGGCAGGGATGGGTCCACACCTTTAGTCCCAGCACCCTAGAGACAGAGAGGCAGGAGGCTCTCTGCTCTCCAGGCCAGCCCAGTCTACTAGACCAGTGCTACATAGTGAGACTCTGTCTAAAAAAAAAAAAATGAATGAATGAATGAATGAATGAATGAATGAGAAATCAAGAAGAGAGGGAGAGAGAGAGGGAGGGAAAGAGAAGAAAGGAGAATATGGTCTATATGGCTGATGGCAGAGTAAGGCCCTACCATTGTACTTGGTTGGTGGACCTGCAGGATGTTATAAACCAACCAGACAGAGACATGCATCACATGTTCTCACTGGTGAGGAGACTAAAAGGGGGCTGATCTCTGTGACTTCAAGGCCAGCCTGGTCTACATAGTGAGTTCCAAGACAGCTAGAGCTACATAGTGAGACCCAGTTTTTGCACATGCAAAAACCTGGATTCAGGCTGTCAAGAGGGCTCCACAGGTTAAAGTGCTCACTGACAAGCTTTTCATCTGAGTTCTCAAGACCTAGGACCCCACGAAAGAGGGAACCAGTTCCCACAGTTGTCCTTTGACCTCCACATCCACATGTATGCCCCAAACACAAATAATAAATAGTAAATAAATGCTACAAAGAAACCCTGCCTCAAAAAATTAACAAAATAAGCAAATGTTTTTATTTATTTATTGTGAATGCAGTGTTCCTGCCTGCACACCAGAGACAGCACCTGATCTAGTTACAGATGGTTGTGAGCCACCATGTGGTACTGGGAATTGAACTCAGAACCTCTGGAAGAGCAGTCAGTGCTCTTAACCTCTGAGCCATCTCTCCAGCCCCCAAACGAACAAATGTTAACAATAAAAACAAACCTCTAAAACAATGGTTTCTGGGACCAACGAGATGACTCAGTGGATAAAGGGACTTGCCGTCACATCTGAGGATCTGAGTTTGATCCCTAGAACCTATGTGGTGGAAGGAAGGGACTAACAACCCAAAGCTGTCCTCTGACCTCCGCACGTGCTGCTTGGCATACATGTGCATGCTCGTACATACACACTTGAAAAACACCTTGGCTAGAAGGTGACATTCTTCTGTTTGTAGTGCTAGGGATAGAGCCAAGGACGTCCTCATGCACACTGTTTAATAGCTGATTAGGAAATGTAATAGCATATCCTAGAAATGTCCATAAAATACATCCATGAGGCTGGGTCTGGGTAGGGTGCTTGCCTATCAAGCAGAGGTCGCTAGAGTCCAGCCTCAGCACCATTTAAACAGGGTATAATAGCAAAAGACAGCCATCCTAGCACTGGGGAGGTGGAGGCAGGAAGATCAGTTCACAGTCATTCTCAGCTACATAGTGAGCTCCAGGCCAGCTTGGGCTACATGAGACCAGTCTCAAAATAAATAAATGAGTAATAGATAAAGAACAATAGTAAACCTCCACATGCTTAGCTCAATAATTAAATTCCCCAGAGTCTGCTCCACCAGTTTACCATTGCTCTTGTTGGCTTTTTGTTTGTTTTGTTTTGACTTTGGCTGTGTGTGTGTGTGTGTGTGTGTGTGTGTGTGTGTGTGTGTGTGTGTGTGTGTGGTTGGGTTTGGGGGTCTTGTTTTGTGGTGTTTGAGACAGAGTCTTACTGTGTAGCTGTGACTGGCCTGGAACTCTGTATGTAGACTGATATCCACCTGCCTCGGTCTTCTCTCCTCTCTGATCACAAGGCTCCTAAGTATAAGAATCACTGATGCTAGCCGGGCGTTGGTGGCGCACGCCTTTAATCCCAGCACTCGGGAGGCAGAGGCAGGCGGATCTCTGTGAGTTCGAGGCCAGCCTGGTCTACAGAGCTAGTTCCAGGACAGCCTCCAAAGCTACACAGGGAAACCCTGTCTCGAAAAACCAAAAAAAAAAAAAAAAAAAAAAAAAAAAGATGGTTACTGCGTTCTCGTCTCATGCCAGGAATCCCACCCTCTGTACCCCTCATTTCACTAATATCTCACTATTTTTTCCCATTACCCAGGTGACAAAAATGTGGTTGGTACATAGACCCCAGTTCTGTCGCCACCTCAGAGTGGGCCGAAGTGAATCACGTGTGAGCTCTCGGCGCCCTCTGAAGGTCAGGTGTGGAACAGAGACAATACCACAAACTTGATCATTTGGACTATTGTCTGGAAAGGATCTTAGTGAAGTGATCCAAGCCTCTTCATCCTGTGACTTGTTTTTCTGTCCCGGGAGAGTCCTGAAGGTGTAAGAGGGGGTAGGATCCTGGATTTGATGTGTGTATGTGTGTGTGGGGGGGGGTTCCAGATGGTCACAGCCAGCCCTGGAGAGTCTAAGTAGGTCTAAGAAATAGCAAAAGCTAGCAGAAGGGCTGGCTCAGTGGTTAGGAGCACTGGCTGCTTTTCCAGAGGTCCTGGGCTCAATTCCCAGAACTCACATGGCAGAGATGTCCGTGTCATAGCTCCAGATCCAGGCCATCTCTTCTAACCTTCAAGGGCAACAACCAAACAAATAATATACCTGCAAGCAAAACAGCCATACACATAAAACAAAGATTAATATATCGGTTTTTTGTGTTTTGTTTTTTTCAAGACAGGATTTCTCTGTAGCTTTGGAGGCTGTCCTGGAACTCACTTTGTAGACCAGGCTGGCCTCCAACTCACAGAGATCCGCCTGCCTCTGCCTCCCAAGTGCCGGCATTAAAGGTGTCTGCCAGCACCACCAGGCTAAAGATTAACTGTTAAAAAGAAAGGAAAGGAAATACTGAAAGCTTCCTGCTGGGAGTCTTTAGGTTTAGAAAGAGACTCTGGAGTGCAGGCAAGAGAATCAGAAGCTCAGGGCCAGCCTGGGCTACATCAGACCCCACCACACACCAAAATGGGGAAAACATAAAATTAGGTTCCCCTGAACATGAGAGCGCAGTGCCGTGTGCCACTGGCAACCTGAGGGACCTGAGTTTGAACCTCAAGGTGGAAGGAAAGCTCCAATCCCCTTGAGTTATCTCCTGACCTACACACACACACACAAATTTAAAAATTAAAATACACATATATTGAAAAAGCAAAGAATATTGTCGTGCCACCCTCCCCCCCTTTTTTTTATTTTTCGGGAAAAGATTTCACTGGCTGTTCTGGAATTCACTGCTTAGGCAAGGTTGGTCTCGAACTCACAGAGATCCGCCTACCTTTTCCTCCAGAGTGCTGGGATTACAGGAGCGCACCACTCCACCACTCCGGCACACATCTTTAATCTCAGCATTTAGGAAGCAAAATCAGGTGGACTTCTGAGTTCGAGGCCACCCCGGGCTACATAATGAGTTCCAAGCCGGTCAGGAGTGAGACAAATACCAGTTCACATCAGTAACGGCAAAAGGGGGTAAAGTCTGACGCAGAAAAAGCTGTAGTCAAAATAAGAAGCGTGGCAGGAGGCTTATCCACGGTCAATCAAAAGATTAACACTAAAAAAAGATGAATGTTTATCGATCAGACGGCACCCACGTGTGGGCGTGCCACCTATCCTAGCCATTCCACCTATCCTTGAGTTCATTGGCTGAAGCAAAAGCGCGTCTATGGGGCCGAGCAACCTCATTGGTTACCTTCCGGAGTCGCGCTCCTTAGGGGCGGGGTTTCCTGCAGTCCGTGGCGCTCGCGGACTTGTAGGCAAAATTTCGCGTTCGGTAGCTGAGGGCCGCGGAGTCGCGTTGGTGACGCTAGCGCCTCAGTCGACGTCATCAACACTCGCCGCGCGTGTCCAAAGGGCTTGGGCTCACCGCTGTGAGGTTTGACCCGCAATGCTGCGGTTGTTCCGGGCCGCTTCGCAGGCCTGGGCTCGACCCCCTGTCTCCCGGGTAGGGCACCAGCTAAGGTCAAGGACGGAGGTCAGAGGTTGGGAACTCTCGGGGAGCACCTCTAACTAAACGCCCCCCGTTTTCCAGGTCCTCAGCTCTCTGGCGGAAGACGCGGCGCGGCCAGCCGAGAGCTCGGAGCCGGGGGTTAGCGCGGGTGAGGCGGCGGGGATCACAGCGTTGGGGAGGAATGCACCGAAAGCGTTGATTTTTGTCCCTGACCCTGGTTCACTCATTCCCCGACTCCCAGGTCTCCTAGATCCCGTGGTGCGCAAGTGTGAGCTCCGGATCCCGGCGCACCGGCGCCCTGTGCAGGCGTGGGTCGAGTCACTGCGAGGCTTCGAGCAGGAGCGCGTCGGCCTGGCGGAGCTGCACCCTGATGTGTTTGCCACGGCTCCCCGGTGAGTGCAGGCCGCAGTGGGAGGACTTTGCCTCTGTGTCTACACGGGACAAAAGGGGTGATCAGTATCCGTGCCGCGGGGCGGGAGGACGAAGGACACAGGGCTACAGCCCCCCCCCCCCCCGCTGTTACATCTTTACTTACTCTCATCCCCTTTATCAGACCTCAGGAAGTTGGGTGATGACTAGGTAGATTTCATCTGACACACAGGAAATTTTCTAGAAACGCTGATTAGTAGAGCAGTGGATGTGCACAGTTGGAGGGCTTGCCTAGCTTGCACGATTCCACACAACCGCCATAGGGACCCACGCCTCTAAATCCAGCACTGTGGAGGTGGAAATAGGAGGGTAGAGAAATTAATGGTCACGGTTGCAAAGTGAGTTCCAGGCCAGCCTGGGCTATATGGCACCATAAGTGAAAGTAAAAATATTAAATATCATGAATTAACATTTTCAAAAATGACTGATAAGAAGGCCAGACTTAGCTGGGCTGTAGTGTCACACACCTTTAATCCCAGCACTAGGGAGGCAGAGGCAGGTGGATCTCTATGAGCTTGATGCCAGCTTGGTCTGTAGAATGAGTTCCGGGCAGCCAAAGCTGCACAGAGATTTTTATTTTATGTGTAAATTATTTTTCTGAATGTGTATGTACACCACACTTGTGCAGTGCTCTCAGAGCCCAAAGAACGGACAGGTCAGGACTTGTTAAAACCAGCTGTGAGCTGTTTGGGGTGCTGGGAATTAGACCTGAACCCTCCAGAGCAGAAGTACTCTTAACCACTGAGCCATCTCTCCAACCTCCCTCTCCTCACATACACACACCTCTGGAACCTGCTGGATCCAGCCAAGACAAGAGTGTTTCAGTTAGAGAGAGGGTACAAAGGTTCTGATGTTCGACTCCACTCTTTGGTTTTCAAAGACAGATTTTTACCATGAAGCACAGCCAGGCCTTTAATTTTCCATCCTCTTGAGTACCAGGAGGTCAGGCGTAGCCACCACGCCCGGCCCGACTCTGTCATACATAGACTGGCTTGAGTTGAGGTGTCAGCTGTGGTCAGGGAAGAGAGATAGGGTCCTGGACGTCTAAGCAAGAGCCGGGTCTCCTTCACTGGGATGCAGGTGTGGGAGAGTTTCAGTTGGGTGTCCCTCTTAGGTCTCCCTTCCCTTTTTCCAGGCTGGACATTGTGCACCAGGTTGCCACCTGGCAGAAGAACTTCAAGAGAATTGTGAGTGTCCTGAGTAGCGTGGCAGAGCTTCCCACTGGGCTCAGAGGCTGTGAGTGTGCTGTCTGGAAACAGCCCGGTTCAGGCTGTGTGTGCCTGTCCGTGCAGAGGCCGGCCCCTCTCAGATCATGTCTCAGCACTCAGCATGGCGGGTAGATCCCTGTCCCTGAGGACTCAGTCTAGTGGGAGAGATGAACAAAAGTCAGTAGACTGGGCACACATCTCTCCAGAGAGAGGTATTTAGTGCTGTGTTCAGGGTAATGAGCCCAGAACCTCAGAGGCTGGGCAATTGCTCTACTAATAAACCACCCTCTCACTTGGGGATTTCTACTGTTGAGCATGCTCCAGCCATAAAGGGACATTTAACTTATAGTCTGACGGGGAGTGCACCTCGAGTGGAGGTTGATGGGAAAGGCATGCATGAATACTCTGTGGGAAGGACCACACAGAGCCTAGTATTGCCATCTAGTCAGTGAGAACAAAGAGTTTTGTGCCAAGAACATTCAGGAGTCAGTAGGGGAGCCAGGTGTGATGGCTCATGCCTGTAAGTGCGGCACCGCAGAGGCTGAGGAGGGGAAATGGAAAATTCAGAGTCAGCCTGGGCTGTATGGGGCGGCCTTGGTCTCAGTGCAGCAAGCTCAGAAGTGGCGGGGTCCCTGTGAAGGGGGCAGCAGGGCCCTACCTCACAAGGGAGGGGCTCTGGTCCCTTTACTCTCTCATCCCCTCCCTAAGACAGTCTTCTCTGGCGTTTGTCTGAACCCACCCCCACTCTCTTTGTACTCACAGAGCTATGCTAAGACCAAGACCAGGGCTGAGGTGAGTGGTGGTGGCCGCAAGCCTTGGCAACAGAAAGGCAGTGGCCGAGCCCGGCATGGCAGCATCCGTTCCCCCTTATGGCGGGGAGGTGAGTGGGGCCCAGTTGGGAGGGAGTCCCAGATGACCCTTTCCATGCAGGTGCCCTCAATTGCCACGATAAGGGACACCTGAGTCCCCAGCTCATTAGCCCACTGGGACAGCTGGTATTGGCCCTCAAGTATGCTGAGCAGTGAGGGACAGAGGTCGGGAACTTTGTACCACCAAGCCTGTTTGTGCAGTGCTGGGGTGGGACCCAAGGTTCTGTACACACTAGGCAAGCATTCCCAGCCGAACCACAGCCCTAGCCCTCATCTTCTCTTTGATCCTTTATTTTTTTCTTTTGAGACTGTCTTGCTGTGTATCCCAAGCTGGTCTTGAAGTCTTACTGCGTTAGGTGACTGTGACTGTACCTTCATGCGTGTCCACAGGCCATCTCCCCACTCTTGTCCAGTCTTTCGCACTCTCCCCATGGTTCCTAGTGAGACCTCTGGCCCTCCCGGCCCTTCCTGTTCATCGCCTCCTCCACCACTTGTCTCAGGCATCAGGCTGACCTCTGACCTCCCAGCCTAGCCGTGTCCAGCACCTGTTCACACACCACTGTCCCTGCAGGAGGCGTAGCCCATGGTCCCCGGGGTCCTACAAGTTACTACTACATGTTGCCCATGAAAGTACGGGCACTGGGCCTCAAGGTGGCCTTGACTGTCAAGCTGATGCAGGTATGGCATAGTGCAGCGGGGAGGGGAACAGCTGGTGCCTGGGGTCCTGGTACAGACCCCCAAATCCTGGTTTTCTCCACAGGATGACCTACACATCGTGGATTCTCTGGAGCTGCCCACTGCAGACCCTCAGTACCTGACAGAACTGGCCCAGTACCGACGCTGGGGGAGTTCCGTGCTCCTTGTAGACTTGTGAGGGCACAGGGCAGAGTGGGGACCTGGGGGCAAGTCTCCTGCGTCCTTCCAGGCTCACTCAGCCCCCATCTGTTCCAGGACACATGAGGAGATGCCCAAGAATGTTGTGGCAGCCACCTCCAGACTCAAGAGCTTCAACCTGATCCCTGCGGTCGGTAAGTGAAGGGCACACTAGCAGAAGTCCCTTTGTTACTCTTGGGCAGTTCAAACCTTGTGCCAGTCACACCATGACTGAAGGACGTGTCTAGGAATTCTCCATTTGGTTGTGCTGGGGTGGAAGCCAAGGCCCAGAGCCTTCTGTGCTAGGCATGTGCTCTGCCCAGAGCCGCCACACCAGCACTATGCTGAAGTCTATTCCACATGTAGCCTGCAGGGGGCGAGCATGAGCACTTGGGTGAAAGCTGCTGTCTTCCTCTTTCCCTCCCCTCAACAGCTCCCACTGATTCTCTCCCGGTGTTTAACCACTTCCAGGGTCTTCCTCACTGGAATGTGGTATGGGGGTCACAGTCACACACTGGGCAGATGTGAAGACAGGTAGCTCAGCTGCTGATGTGGGATCTGAAGACTAGCAGGGTACCTCGGGAGGGCAAGGGTCAGGCTTCAGCTAAGACGGATTTGGGCTGAACTAGAGGGCAGCCACACGCTGACCATGTCCTCACATCCCAGGCCTGAATGTGTACAGCATGCTCAAACACCAGACTCTGGTTCTCACCCTGCCTTCCATCGCCTTCTTGGAGGACAAGCTACTCTGGCAGGATTCAAGATACACTCCACTGTACCCCTACCGCCTTCCCTACAATGACTTCCCCTGACCCTGCCCTGGTCACCTAGAAGCCCACCCCGCTTGGGGGCCAAGTCAGCACGCCAGCCTTCCTGCAGAAAAGCCGTTCCCTGGAAGCTGCTGAGGCTTGGTGCAGCAGGGTATAACTGCGCAGGGCCAAGATGGGTGCCTGCCTGGGGTCTCTTGTCACATTAGAAGTAAAGCCTGTTTCACGAGACTTGAAAATGGAGCTGGTCACTGCATGTAGGATCCCGTCAGCTCCCAGGCTGTTCATCCAGTGCTGGGCATCCCAGGTGCCTCTTTTCCAGGGCACAAACTCATGCTGGCAGCCTTGGAGGGTCTTCCTGCCGAGGCAGGTGCTGGAGTGCGCACAGGTGCCTAGCCAGCAGCCTGCACTCCCCTCTGGGAGGGTCTGCCATCAGGTGACATGCAAGCTTCCTCTGACAGCTTTCTTCACAAACCATCTCGTGTTCTTGTGGTAAAACAAATAAATCTATTTAAAGACATCATGCCACTGCTCAGCTTTGCGCTTTTTTTGTTTTGTTTTTCTTTTCAAGACATGGCTTCTCTGTGTAACAGCCTTGGCTCACTTTGTAGACAGACTGGCTTCAAACTCAGAGAGATCCGCCTGCCTCTGCCTCCCAAGTGCTTGGATTAAAGGCGGCTGCCACCACCTGGCTATATTCTCAGTTAAAAAACAAAGCAGCAACAAAAAAGTTGAACTGGAGAGATGGCTTGGCAGGGAAGAGCACTAGCTGCTCTCCAGAAGACCGTCACAGCTGGAGTCCCAGCATCTACACGGCAGCTCATAGCTGTCTTCAACTTCAGTTCCAGAAGAGCCAGACACCAGGCGCACACATGGTGCACAGACATGACATGTAGACAGAGGACATAAAATAAGAAAAAATAAGCCGGTTAGCAGTGGTGCACACCTTTAACCTTAGCACTTGGGAGACAGAGGCAGGCGGATCTCTCCGAGTTTGAGGCCAACCTAATCTGCAGAGCTAGTTCCAGGACAAGCTCCAAAAAAAGACACAAAAAAAAAGGGGGGGGGGGGGACTTGAAAAAAAATTTCCCTGTGGTATTGGGCATAGAGTCCAGGGTCTTGTGTCTAGGCACTCTAACCCTGAACCCCTCTCCTAGGGTTCCCAGGAACGAGCTGTATCTCCCAAGTACAAAGACTTCTGGCACACACACACAACTGTCTGGTTTGTGTATTTTACTTATTTTTAGCAAAGAACATAGGTTTATAAAGGAAAAGTGAGGGCTGGAGAGGTAGTTCAGTGGTTAAGAGGACCCAGGTTCAATTCCTAGAACCCACATGGCAGCTCACAGCTGTCTAACTCTAGTTGCAGGGGATCAAACCCTCACACAGACAGACATGAAGGCAAAAGCACCAATGCACACAAAAATGTTTTAAGGAAAAAAAGAGTGGGTGGGGCTCCACAAAGAACACTCAGCACTGTCTCTTTAAACTAAGACCAACGTTGACTAGGACTGCTTTCTGTTGGTGTGTGTACAGCCAGACAGCCTCAGTCACACCCTGTGGCTGGCAGCCCTCTTGTTGACAATAACCCTGGATGTGTTGACATTCTAACTAGAAAAACAAAGGCTACAGAAGCCAGAGGCTCTATTGCAGTGCTGGGGAAGCTAAGGCTGGAGGACTGCAGTTCTTTTGTTTTTTGAGACAGGGTTTCTTTGTGTAATAGCTCTGGCTGTCCTGGCACTCGCTCTGTAGACCAGGCTGGCCTAGAACCCACAGAGACCCGCCAGCCTTTGCCTCCCTCAAGGCATGTGCCACCACCACCCAGTGGAGGACTGAAGGCTGGTTTGTAGGAGTCCATAAATATTAGATACAGGATCTGGGGAGCACTCACACAATGCCAGTAAATACCTGCCAAGGTCTTCCTGCTCCTGAAGATGTCACCATGTTCGGGCCACAACCCAAGAGAGAGCGAGCCGGCCCCTCTTCATCATTGTAAGGAGTCATGTCTGCACACCTGAAGCCACTCCCTAAGATGTGCCCACCACCCCAAGTCCACTGGTGGAACAAGATGCCACTACAGAGGACTGCAATTTTTTTCCGAGACATGGTTTCTCTGTGTAGCCCTGGCTGTCCTGAAACTCAATCTGTAGACCAGGCTGGTCTCAAACTCACAGAGATCTGCCCACCTCTGCCTCCCGAGTGCTGAGATTAAAGGCGTGCGCCACCAACGCCCGGCTGAGGAGTGAAATCTTAAGGATAGCTTGAGCTACAGAATAAGGCCAGGTAGGCCTGGTGGCACACACCTGTCACTCCAGCACTTGAGGCAGAAGCAGGAGGAAAGGTTGGAAAAGTCACCCACTCCTGGCTACATAGCTTGAAGCCAGCCTGAGCTGCCACAGACCATATTTCAAAAACACTAAACAGTGCCAGGTAGTGAGTGACCTTTAATCCCAGCACTCAAGAGGCAGAGGCAGTGAGTTCCAGGATAGCCAAGGCTACACAGAGAAACCCTATCTCGAAAAAGGAAAAAACAAACATAAAAACCCCAAACACTGAACAAGAGTGTTCCTGTCATGGACCTTCTCACCTTTGGGGGTTCTTAATATTCTTTAATAAACCTGTTTCCTCTGCTCAGAGACAAAAAAAAAAAAAAAACTAAACACATCTTTAATCCTAGCACTCAGGAGTCAGAGGTATGTAGATCTCTGAGTTCAAGACCAACCTGAACTACAAGTGAGTTCCAGGTCAGCCAGGTTACAAAACACAAAAATTTTCTGGGCATTGGTGGTACATGCCTTTAATCCCAGCACTTGGGAGATAGAGACAGCCTGGTCTACAAAGCAAGTTCCAGGACAGCCAGAGCTGTTACACAGAGGAACCCTGCCTCAAACAACAGCAACACAACATCCCTCTCAACGTCGTACTGAAGAAGCCACTGGAATAAGATGTGTGTGCCGATGTTCGCCCAGTATGTGCTGGACACTACCACTGTCTCTTCCTCTTGTGCAGCTAAAGGAATGGAGGAGGAGAGTCCCAACCTTAGGGGACAGGTGTACCTAGACATACATGCATTCCAACCAACATCAGAACTTTAAGGAAGCAGTAAGACTCACCACCACCCACTGGGTTAAAAAAAAGCCTGAACCTGTCCCTCCACACTTATCCTCCGACAGCTCCACAGGCAAAAGGCATCCTAAGAAAGTGATTCTGTGTCTGGAGTGTACTTTCAAGTCATTAGGTTATAGCCAGGCAAGGCGAATGCATTAGGAAAGTTGAGGCAGGAGGACCAGGAGTTTAAGGTCCCCCTGGGCTACATAGTAAGTCTGAGTCTAGTCTGAGCTACATGAGACGTTGTCTCAAAAGCATGAGGGCTGGGCATGAGGCTCGGCCTGTAGAGTGCTCGCCTACAAGCTACAGCTGTGGGAAATGGTAGTCGGTGTGGTAGTCATGCCTGCAATCCCAGCTCCTGGGTATTGGAGCAGAAGCTGTGGAGTTCCAGGCAAGCCTGGGTACAGAGACCAAGAGTGTATCTCAAAGTAAAGAAATAAAAATAGAGGCTGCTCGGGCTCCAGAAAGGAGGACAAGCCCTGTTGGGACAAGAGGAGAAGCATGGCAGCTGAGGTAGCCGCAAGGTGAAGATGTCCCCACCAGAACTCTCAGCAAACGAGGCTGGGACTTTCAGAGCATTCCTTAGCTTGTGTGAGACCATTTGGCACCAGGGAGGAAGTCATGCCCTTCCTGCAGACTGAGGCACAGGCAGGGGAGGATAACTGCGAAGGAATGTAGTTCTGGAATGAATACCGCTGCACTGAAGCCTGTTGCCGCTCACCTTCCCTCCCCACCTCCCAGGATCTCAGACCTGAAGGGCGGAACTGCCCTGGTCCCTCCCCCATGCCTCAGCAGCTCCGGTTGGTCTAAGAGATGTCCAGTGCACCACCCAGGCAGGGTCTCATATATACCAGCTTAGCTCTAACCTTTTTTTTTTTTTTTTTTTTTTTTGAGGCAGGGTTTCTCTGTGGCTTTGGAGGCTGTCCTGGAACTAGCTCTTGTAGACCAGGCTGGTCTTGAACTCACAGAGATCCGCCTGCCTCTGCCTCCCAAGTGCTGGGATCAAAGGTGGCCACACCATCACCCTGTGCAACTTTTTTTTAAAGTGGTGTTTTGTTTGTTTTAAGACCAGGTCTCACTATGTAGCTGTGGTTGGCCTGAAAGTCACAGAGAAACTCCTGCCTCTGCCTTCCTAGTACTGTATTAAAAAAAAAAAAAAAAGGGCTGGAGAGATGGCTCGGTGGTAAAGAGTTCTTACTGCTATTCCAGAGGACCCAGGTTCAATTCACAGCCATCTGTAACTCTAACTCCAGGGCCCTGATGCCCTTTCTGCCTTTTATGGGCACTGCACACATGTGAAACTCCCACACACGTAAATCATTCACGGTGGTGGCTCCCGGCTTTCATCCCAGCACGCAGGAAGCAGATTCTGACAGATCTGTGAGTTCGAGGCCAGCCTAGTCTACAGAGCGAGTTCCAAGACAGGCAGAGTTACACAGAGAAACCCTGTGTCAAAAAGACAAAAAAAATTATCTTACATTTATGAGTATTTTGCCTGTGTGTATTTGCATGCACTGAGTGTATGCCTGCTACCCGTGAAGGCTTGAAGAGTGCACCAGATTCTCTACAATTAGAGTTATGGACATTTCTCTGGATCAGCAGCAACTGTTTGTTTTTAACAATTTATAGTTTCGCCGGGCGTTGGTGGCGCACGCCTTTAATCCCAGCACTCGGGAGGCAGAGGCAGGCAGATCTCTGTGAGTTCGAGGCCAGCCTGCACTACCAAGCGAGTTCCAGGACAGCCTCCAAAGCCACAGAGAAACCCTGTCTCGAAAAACCAAAAAAAAAAAAAAAAAAATTTATAGTTTATGCCTGAGTGCTCTGTATGTATACCAGCAGCCAGAAGAGGGCGCCAGACCTCATTACTGATGGTTGTGAGCCATCATGTAGTTGCTGGGAATTGAACTCAGGACCTCTGGAAGAGCAGTCAGTGCTCTTAACCTCTGAGCCATCTCTCCATCTTTCCAGGCCCTCTTCTATTTTTTAAAAAAGTCTTGCGTGTGGGCCAAATGTGTGTAGGTGTCTGTGGAAGCCAGAAGACACCATGGGGTCTGCTGGAGCTTGGGTTACAAGCGGCTGAGAGCTTCTGGGTGTACTGGGAGCCGAACCTCGTTCCTCTGGAAGAGAAGCGAGTGCCCCTGACCCCGGGGTGGTCTCTGCACCCTCTAATGTTTTCTCACCACGTCAATTCCTTTTAACCACCAAACACTCTATCCCTGGCTTTAGCTTTCCACATTACCACTAGTCAGAAACTACTCCATATTTTTTTTCCCAATCTGGACAGCTCTTACCTGTAGTCCAGGCTGGCCTTCAACACACAGCAGAGGATAACCTTGAATTCCCTATCCTCTTTCCTCCACGAGGGCTTGGTGCTTGTTCATTTATTTATTTATTTTGGTTTTTTCTTTCTTTCTTTCTTTCTGTTTTTTTGTTTTGTTTTGTTTTGTTTTGTTTTTGAAACACAGTTTCTCTGTGTAGGCCTGGCTGTCCTGGAACTAGATCCATAGACCAGGCTGGCCTCCATGCCCCTGGGACTAAAGGCCTGTGCCACCACACTCTATGCAGTTGAGTGTCTCTAAAAACCAACCCTCCCCCCAAAAAACCCCCAAACAGGTACTCTACTAAGTAGCTACAGCCGCAGAAAGATTATTTTTAAATTATTGTTTTAAATTAATTTTATGTGTGAATGCATCGTCAGCATGTATACCACATGTGCGCTTGCTGCTTGACATGGTGCTGGTAACTGAACTGGATCATTAGCTGCTGTGCGCGCGTGCGTGCATGCGTGCCTGTGCCTGTGCGTGTGTGTCCCTGTTGGTGCCCAATCCGATGAACCCCTAGGACTGGAGTTACAGATGGTTATGAGCTGCCATGTGGGTGATGGGAATTGAACCAGCCCCCAGTTGATGGTTTTTGAAAACAAACTCTCTTGTGGAGCTGGCCTTGAACTCACTGCCCCACCTCCTGAGTATCGCAGTCACAAGCTCAGCTTTAGAGTCACAGGCTCAGCAGTGGAGTCACCGCTCAGCTGAGCATCCCAGCAGGATTTTCCAATATCAGCTCTGGGAACGAAGGTGCCCTGCACACAGTTAAACAGCCTCGTTCTTAGGGCTATAAATGGAAACTTACAGCGCTGGAGGCTCCCGCACAGAGGTAGGGATCAAAAGACTCTCAGTGACACCCCCCGAGAAAGATCCTCTCCGAGGGTTTTACCAGAACTCCCTGAGGTCACCCTGCAACTTACCAAAGTTGTCCCGGGGCAGGGACTGAGTGTCCCCTCCCCAGCCCCCCAAGATCAAAAGATCCCCGTGGAAATTCCTTAGGAATGCCCAGGCTGGGGCGTGGGTTGTGGAGTGTCCCGGGAGCTGCGGCGCGGGAGGAAGAGCAAGTGCGTCCCGACCTCTCCCTTCCGCATCTGCAGCACGACCTCCTGGCCCAGCACGGGTTTCCACGGCAACTGTGCGGGCGTCCCACAACAGGAAGTCTCGGGCGCCGCAGGTCTAATGAAAACCCCCGCGTCAGAAGACTGGGGTTCCAGAGCTCTCTTCGCCCGACCTCGGAGTTCAGGGTCTGCCTCAGTTTCCCTAAAGAAAGCAAAGGTTAAAATGCCGAGCGTTGGTGGTGCACGCCTTTAATCCCAGGACTCAGGAGGCAGAGGCAGGGGGATCTCTGTGAGACCAGCCTGGTCTACAAAGTGAGTTCCAGGACAGCTCCAAAGCCACAGAGAAACCCTGTCTCGAAAAACCAAACCAAACCAAACCAAAAAGCAAGGTGAAGCACGAGGCAGGATCAAGGTCATCCCTAACTACAGAGTGTTTGAGGCCAGCCTGGGCTACTTGATACCCAGTCTCTAGGAAAGAGATGGTGGTGGGGTGAGATGGGAGGGGAAGGGAGGGAGAGAGAGAGAGGGAGAGAGGGAGAGATGGAGAGAAGGAGTTGGGGGGAAGGGGAGGGAGAGAGAGAGAAGGACAGAGCAGGAGAGAAAGAGAGAGAGGGAGGGAGAGAGGTGGGGGAAGGAGAGGGGGAGAGAGGGAGGGAAAGAGAGAGAAGAGAGAGCAGGAGAGAGGGAGGGAGAGAGAAAGAGAGAGGGAGAGAGAGAGCGCGCGCACGCAGAAAGAGAGGGGGAGAGGGCGGGCGAGGCAGAGGGAGGGAGGGGGAAGACTCCGGGGTGAGGACTGGTCCCTCTCTGAGAGATGCCCGTCTTCTTTGCTCTCAGTTTCGCACGCAGCCCGGGAGAGGGTGCGCAGGGCTCCGTGCCACAGACTTCTTCCTTTTGGGGAGCTGTCAAGACGCCCCAGGGGTCAAAGTAGAAAGGGGAAGCGAGGCCGCGGGGGCGGGAGCACTCGTGGGCGGGAGGAGGGACGTCGGGATTGCACGACGCCTCTCTGGCAGGGCTCACCCACGCCGGCTCTGCCCGGGCCTGCCTGGACCGCTGCTCCGAAATCTCCAGCGTCAGCGGGTGTGGTGAGACCCTGGGAGAGGGGCACCTCCGAGCGGATGGCGCCCCAAATGACCCCGGGGCTTCTCCTCACCCCTAGTAAGGCTTGTCTGCGGGGCTAAGGAGGCTTGCCGGAGCCGGGGGTCGGGGCCGCCCTCGAGGGCGCGGCGGCCCCGATGGCTTGAGCTAACCTGGGGGCGCGGCTCCCAGAGGTCCCGAGCCTTCTCGCCTGAACTCACCTTCTGGAGGCCGACACCCTCTCCCTCACCTCACACAGCCCGCCCCAGCTTGTCATTGCTTCAGTTTGGAAACTCCGGGGCGCCGTGGCCAGCGAAGCAGGACCCCCCCTCGGCCAGGGCACATCTCCATCCGGAAATACCGAAGTGGCGTTCCGGAGGGGAAGGCGCTAGGTTTCCGGGAAAGCGGCCCCGCCAGCACCGCCCCGTGGGCCCCCGTGGCCAGCAGCTATAAAGGACGGCGCGGCGCGGCGCGGATCTCAGTCGCGCCCAGTGCTCGTGCCCCGCGGCGCTGCCACCTGCGCTTGCCCCGGCCCTGCTATGGCTCCCTCCCGCGCCAGGCCCACGCTGCCTCTGCTCCTAGTCCTGGTGGCCGTCGTGATTCCAGGTGAGTCCGAGGCGGGGTCGCCTTTAGGGACAAGTCTCCGGACTCCAGGTTGACCCAGACACGGACTACAGCACCGCACGCGGATAGTACTTAGTCTGTTAACGGGAAGTGGGAGTGGAAAGGAAGGGTTGAAAATCAACAGCCCCCAGTGGTTCAAATCCCGCGAATGGGCTGCGGAACACAATCCTGGCTCTGCCTGGCTCTCCCCCTCCCTCTCTCCCCCTCTCCCTCCCTCTCCCTCATTCCCATCCTCTCCCTTTCTCCCTCTCTCCCTCCCCCTCTCCCTCCCTCTCTCTCTCCCTCTCAACCTCTCTCCTTCGTTCCTTCTCTCCCTTTCTCTCTCTCCCTCTCTCCCTCCCTCTCCCCCTCCCTCTCTCCCTCCCTCTCTCTCCCTCTCCCTCCCACCCTCCCACCCTCCCTCTCTCCCTTTTTTCCTGTTTTGAGACTGGCCTTGAACTCCTGTCTTCATGGTCCCTTCTCCCTCCAGCCTGGGATCTCAGGCTGGGGACACACTACTCCTCTGTAAACTTGTACATTTAGAACCTGGGATCCTAGGAGAAGGCACTGGGAACTGTGGTCACAGCCCTTGTCATGGGGCAGTCAGAATGTGGCCCGGGTGGGGAACAGATAGTAGGGGACCAGCCTCTGCTGAGCTGAGTCTTGAGGCCCAGTTCCCTCCCCACAGATGCCCTGTTCCTCATCCTCACCCCTGGGGAAGTCCAGGCTGCTTCTGCACGGGGGAATTCCAGGGTTGGTGTACTCAGGAGCCAGAGGCTGAGAAGTGAGGTGATTCAGGACTCCCCACAGCAGCCCTCCCTTGCTGAAGCCTAGGGGCAGCGCCTGCTGTCCTCCAATGACAGGAAGGTTCCCAGCTCCTTCAGCCGCTCACAGGAGGCTTCTGATCTGGACTCCCAGAATCAAGGGTTCTCCATGGGACCAGAATAATCCCAGAGGTGCCTGAGAGAGTCTCCAGAGGGGATACCTGCAACCCAGACTGCTAATCACAGCACTGGAATCTTGGGGGGTGTTTTACCTCCCTCCCCAGGGTCTCTCTGTGTAGCCCTGGCTGTCCTGGAACTCACTCTGTAGACCAGGCTGGCCTCAAACTCCAAGGGAGAAAGGTCCTTCTCCCTCTGCCTCCTGTGTGCTGAGATTAAAAGTGTGCACCACCACTCCTGACATTAGGGACACATTAGCCGGGCATTGGTGGCGCACACCTTTAATCCCAGCACTCGGGAGGCAGAGGCCAGCCTGGTCTACAGAGCGAGTTCCAGGATAGCCTCCAAAGCCACAGAGAAACCCTGTCTCGGGAAAAAAAAAAAAAAAAAAAAAAAGATCACGCTAGCTAAGGCTACACAGAGAAAGCCTGTTTCGGAAAAAACAAACAAACAAACAAATAACCCAACAGCTATTCTCTGGGGCTGGGGCCCAGTGGGCAGGACACTTGCCTCGCAGGCATGAAACCCTGGGTTCCATCCCTAGCACTGTATTAAACTGAGTGTGGTAACATGCGTCTGGAGAGGTGGCTCAGCGGTTAAGTAGGAGCTACTCTCACAGAGGGCCAGGGTTCTGATCCCAGGACCCACACAGTGGCCCACAAAGCCTATAACTCCAATTCCAGGGTTATGATAGCCTGTTCTGATCTCTGCTGGCACCTGTATGCATGTGCCCTGCCCCCACACTCACACAGGCACACACACACTCACACCACACACATATACACTCACACCACACACATATACACTCACACCACACACATATACACTCACACCACACATACACACCACACACATATACACTCACACCACACACATATACACTCACACCACACACATATACACTCACACCACACACATATACACTCACACCACACATACACACCACACACATATACACTCACACCACTCACACCACATTCACATACACTCACACCACACATACCACATTCACATACACACTCACACCATACACACACACTCACACCACACACACCACACACATACACACTCACACCATACACACACTCACACCACACACATACACACCACACACACATACACTCACACACACAAAAATATTTATTGGTTTTTCTTTCTTTTTTTTTTTTTAAAGGCAGGGTTTCTCTGTGGCTCTGGAGGCTGTCCTGGAACTAGCTCTTGTAGACCAGGCTGGCCTGGAACTCACAGAGATCCACCTGCCTCTGCCTTCCAAGTACTGGGATTAAAAGCGTGTGCCACCACCTTCCAGCAATACATATTTTTTTAAAAGAAAGGAAAACGCAGTACTTGGTGTTTGGGGAGGGGCATTCCTGGAGGGAAGGCTACCCTTGGACTCTATATGTAGCCCAGAATGAGGTTCAACTCCTGATCCTCCTGCCTCTACCTCCTGAGTGTTGGAATTACAGGTGTGTGTGTGTACTATGCCCAGCCCCACCCCCACGCCCCTCAGTACCCATAATTAGTTATCTGGTGTACTCAAGCATGGCTGCCTCCTGCAGTGAGGGCAACATTGTCTGGCTCAAGGCTGCGTCCCGCATGGGTGAGTCAGCCTCTCCTCTCTCTCCTCTCCTCTCTCTCACCTCTCCTTTTCGTTCCAGGGCCTAGTGGTGCTCAAGTGTCCATCCACCCCAAAGAAGCCTTCCTGCCTCGGGGCGCATCCATGCAGGTGAACTGCTCTTCCGTCTGCAGCGAGAACCTCAACCTGGGCTTGGAAACTCAGTGGCCCAAAGTAGAGCTGGATCGTGGAGAAACCTGGAAGCTGTTTGAATTGAGTGACATCGAAGAAGACAGCAGCCCACTGTGCTTTGAGAACTGTGGCCCCATCCAGTCTTCAGTCTCTGCCACCATTGTGGTGTACTGTGAGTGACAGGGTCAGCGTGGGGTTTGGGGACACCCACTGGGGTTGCGGCAGCTGACACCAGGAGCCAACCTTGGGAAAGTCCCTGCCACTTAGAGATCTCTGTAAACTTTTGCCAGGAGATTGTACCACAGGAATTTAGAATGTTTCAGAATGCCACCATTTGATGCTTGGATTGTTCTGTTTTGTTTTGCCTTTTAACTGTACTCTATTGTTGATTATTTCTAATGTTTTGGTTTTTAAAAATAATGTATTTAAGTTAAACAGTGGTGGTTTTAATTCCAGGACTTAGGAGGTTGAGGCAGGGGGATCTCTGTCAAATCAATGCCAGCCTGGTCTACAATAAGTTCCAGAGTAGCCAGGGCTACACAGAGAAACCCTGTCTCAAAAAACCAAACAAGAGAAATATATTTGGTATTTTATGCACATTGGTGTTTTGCCTTTATGTGTATCTGTGTTAGGGTGTCAGTGCCTAGGAACTTGAGTTACAGACAGTTGTAAGCTGCCATGTGGTGCTGGAAATAGGACAGGTCCTCTGCAAGAGCAGTCAGTGTTCCTAACTTCTGAGCCCTCTCTCTAGCCACAGTCTTTTGTTTTTGTTGTTGTTGTTGAAGACAGGGTCACATGTAGCTCTAGCTGGCCTTGAAGCACCAAGATCATAGGTGTGTGCTTCCAAGCCTGGGTTGGACGTCAGTTCTTTACACAAGATATGAATGTGTCCTGCTACCTCCACAGTCTTGGGAATCATTGATGCGTGGGTCCTTCCCACAGGGAATGGGTCAGGCTCTAGGGCTGTTTTGTCCCTTTGGGTTGAGGATGGAGTCACCAGGACTTGGCACTTGGTCAGGTATGCGTTTTGACACTGAGCTCTACCCCCAGTCTGTAGTGCAGCTGTATTTGAAGGTCAAACATTTACAAACCACTCAAAGATAGTGGACCAGAGACATGGCAGGATAGCTTGGTTTGGACATACCATGGAATAGTATGCTTCTGTATAAAAGCATGCAGAAGCGTCTTCCTGCCTGGAGGAATGTTACACCTCAGAAGGAAATGGGTGCTGAGGAGGAGTGCTGTGACAGTTTCTGTATTCGGGAGCAGTGGGGGCAGAATGAGGCAGGTTACCTTTATACATGGAACCCAGGGCTTGACATGCTGGGCTAGCACTGACCACCAGACCACCTCCCAGCTTCTCTGGGTTTTCTAGGCAGGGGGTCTTCCCCAGAACCTTGCTCCTGCACCCTCTCTGGGCAATTCCAGGCAGAGGCTCTACCCAGTTGGCTTTGATGTTGGAATTGGAATTGGCACCGAGGAACTGGGTAACCATTGGGCACTTAGCATCTTGGTTTATTTGTTGACCGTGTCTGCTTTCCTCAGACTGCTCTGATACAGGGAAGCCTAATGGTGTCAGGACAAAAGCCCTATGTGGTTTGGAGGATGTGGGCTTGTGTGTCAGTGCTGCCCTGGAGGGAGGGAAGTCCCCAAGCATTCCTGGTGGCCTTAGGAAGTACCTCTGAAGAGCTTTTCCAGGGTACCTGATCTTGGAAGCCCAGGCTACGGCTGGACTTCTGTCTTTGCTGCATTTCTGTAGCTGTCACTTTGACTGTTCAGCTGTGCCTTAATTTCTGCTCTGTGAACACAGTGAGCCAGGTGTGGGGGTGGTATGCCTTTAATCCCAGGGCTTGGAGGTAGAGTTCAAGGCCAGTCTGGTCTGCATAGTGATTTCCAGGTCAGCAGGGGTCGGGAGGGCACTAAAAGAACAACCAAAAACCCCAGCTGGGGCTGAGGGTGCTCCAGGCAGAGGGGACAGCCCAGAGCAAGGCTGGAGTAGGAAACTACAGCCTAAGGGCCGCACAGGGAATCAGGCACTAGCATTTTCTCCCTTGGGAGTCAGGGAGCCAGGAAGGGTGTGGAATGGCCCCCGGATCTGAGTGACAGAAAGCTGGCTTACCAGAAGCTGGACAGCCATTGGCATGTAGCCACAGCCTGCCTGCTTGCTGCGTGTGATTGCAGCATCCACGATGGGAAGGACAAACAAATATTTGAGGAATGGAGCAACCAGGACTTGGTGAGAGACTGCAGCTCAGAGTCAAGAAGGAAGATGAGGACCCATGCCCTCCCCCCATGACAGGGAGGCAGCTCTGTAGCTGTTTGGGGACTTGGGTTTGAAAGGACCTCAAATTCTACGAGTTGTATGTTTTAATTTTTATTTATTTTGCATGTGAAGGGGGTGTCACATGTGTGTGGATGTCAGAGGTCAACTTTTACAAAAAGATTCATTGTTATGTTATGTGTGTGGCTGTTTTGCCTGTAGTTAAGTCTGTACACCAAGTGCCTACCCTGTGCCTGAGGAGGCCAGAAGAGGGCAGCAGATTCCCCAGGATTGTGAACCACAATGTAGATGCTCTGTCCTCTGTGGAATTGATTCTTTTTGTTCAACCTTACATGGGATCCAGGGATTAGACTCAGGTATTCAGGCTTATGTGACAGGCACTTTTATCCACTGAGCTGTATCACTGACCCATTTTCATTTAAATTAATCTTATTTTATTTGTGGGACTGGGGATGGAATCCAGGGCCTTCCTCCTGGTAGGCAAGGCCTCTAAGACTGGGCCACCACCCCCTCTGTCCTGAGGGGTCAGATCAACCTGTAGCACACACTCATTTGCCCCGTGTTCTGCTGATAGAATTTGGAGTTTATTTCCACCTCTCAGATATTGCTTCTGGGAATGGTTATGGTCCCTGTGCAAACACTCCTGGCCTCCTCCCTAGCTTTCCCCAAAGCTCTCTGCATTCCTGGCTGCTTAGGTGGTAGGGTGTGTTTTGGTGAGACTGAGGGTGTGTCCTCATCGGCCCAGCTTACGGGATCCCCAACCCCCTGTCTCCCTGCAGCGTTCCCGGAACGTGTGGAGTTGGACTCACTGCCCACCTGGCAGCCTGTGGGCAAGAACCTCACCCTGCACTGCCGTGTGCATGGTGGGGCACCACGGAGCCAGCTCTCCGTCATGCTGCTCCGAGGGGAGGAGGTGCTGCACCCGGAGCCGGTGGACTCCAGGAACCCCAAGGAGATCACAGCCACGGTGCTGGTGAGCAGAGATGACCATGGAGCCAGTTTCTCATGTCGCGCAGAACTGGACCTCAGGCCACAAGGACTAGCACTGTTCCGGAATGTCTCCACGGTCAGGCATCTCCGGACTTTCGGTGAGGCCCTGGGAAGCAAGGTATTGCTACATACCTTGGGAGTGTGTGCAGGTGCGGGTGGGATTTGGGGGAGAAGCCCACCCCTGTAATGGGGGTGAGGTGCTGAGAAAATGGTGATCTTGGTAGTGGAAGTTTTGGGACTGCCAAGGTGGCTTGTTGGGTAAAGGGTTTGCATCCAAGCTAGATGCAAACTTCCAAAGGAGAAAACTGACTCCTGAAAGTTATCCTTTGACCTTCACAAATGAATCTTGCACAGGTGTACACAGTAAACACATCAAATGAATAGAAAGAAAAAAGGGGTTTGTGGGTGGCCAGTTTTTTTTTTTCTGAGACAGGGTTTCTCTGTGGCTTTGGAGGCTGTCCTGAACTAGCTTTTTGTAGACCAGGCTGGTCTCGAACTCACAGAGATCCACCTGCCTCTGCCTCCTGAGTGCTGGGATCAAAGTGGTGTGCCACCACGGCCCGTGGGGGCCACAGCTCTTACTCATGCCTGTCTTCTCTCTTAAGATCTTCCTGTGACCATCCCGAAGCTAGACTCCCCTGACCTCCTGGAGGTGGGCACCATGCAGAAAGTGATGTGCTCCCTGGGAGGCCTGTTTCCTGCCTCTGAAGCCCGGATCACTCTGGAACTGGGAGGCCGCACACTGACCTCCGAAAGCACAAACCACGGAGACTCGGTGTCAGCCACCGCCTTGGTGTCCTCGGAGCTGGAGGGAACTCAGCAGCTGCGCTGTGTTTTGGAGTTGGCAGACCAGATCCTGGAGGCAGAGAGGACTTTGAGCATCTACAGTAAGAAGGGGCGGGGCCTAGTTCAGAGACAGCTGGAGACTTGATTGGTACCAAGGAGGGTTATTAAAAGTGTAGGGCCCAGGGGCTGGAGAGATGGCTCAGCGGTTAAGAACACTGACTGTTCTTCCAGAGGTCCTGAGTTCAATTCCCAGCAACCACATGGTGGCTCAAAACCACCTTGAATGAGATCTGGTGCCCTCTGCTGGCATGCAGGCAGAAGACTGTATACACAATAAATAAATAAAATATTAAAAAAAAAAGATGACCTTGATCTAAAAAAAAAAAAGTGTAGGGCCCAGTGTAGGGGCACAGGGGCGGGGCTTCAGGGGGCCGTGGCCTGGTGTGGGGTAGCCCATGCGGGAGTCAGGACTGGCACCAGGGGTATGACTAATGCCAGTGAAGTCACTTTCAGGAAGAACTGAGGCAGGGGCTACACGCCTTTAATCCCAGCACAGGGGTGGCAGAGGCAGGTGGATCTCTGTGAGTTCGAGGCCAGCCTGGACTACAGAGCGAGTTCCAGGACAGCCTCCAAAACAATACAGAGAAACCCTGTCTCGAAAAACCAAAAAAAAAAAAAAAAAAAAAAAGAGTTCGAGGCCAGCCAGAGCTACACAGTGACACCCTGTCTCAAAAAACAACAATGTTAGCCGGGCGTTGGTGGCGCACGCCTTTAATCCCAGCACTCGGGAGGCAGAGGCAGGCGGATCTCTGTGCGTTCGAGGCCAGGCTGGACCGATAGCCTCCGAAACAATACAGAGAAACCCTGTCTCGTAAAAAAAAAACAACAATGTTGAAGGTTGGGTCTGACACTAGAGGGAACCTTGGAGTCAGGCCCACCCACACCTGAAGCTGAGCCATCAAGGGCGGGGCTCGCACTGGGCGGGGCTCATGGTGTGTACCGCCCACAGATTTTTCCACTCCGGTCCTGACCCTGAGCCAGCAAGAGGTGTCAGAAGGGAGCCCAGTGACGGTGAAGTGCGAAGCTCAAGGGGGGGCACGGGTGGTTTACCTGAGTGGCGCCCCGCCCGGGACCCCCGCCCCGCAGGTCCAGTTCATGCTGAACGCCAGCGCTGAGGACAACAAGCGACGCTTCTTTTGCTCTGCGGCCCTGCAGGTGGCTGGGCAGGAGCTGTTAAAAAATCAGACCCTGGAACTCCACGTGCTGTGTGAGTGGGGCTGCGGGGTGGTGACTGCAGCCCCCTAGATCCCCAGGTGCCCCCTGAGCCCTCCCTGATCTGTGTCCTCACACTGTCCTTTCTCCAGATGGCCCCCGGCTTGACGACAGGGACTGCTTGGGCAACTGGACCTGGCCCGAGGGGTCTCAGCAGACTCTGAAATGCCAGGCCTGGGGGAACCCAGCCCCCAAGCTAACCTGCAGCCGGAGAACAGATGGAGCCCTGCTGCCCATCGGGGACGTGAAGACTGTCACACGGGAGATGAACGGGACCTATGTGTGCCATGCCGTGAGCTCCCATGGAAATGTCACCAGGGACGTGTTCCTGACAGTGCTTCGTGAGTGTCCCAGGGCTGGGTGACTGGTGGGCAGGGTGCCAGTCCTCAGTTCTTACCCTTCTGTCTCTACAACACAGATCACGATCCCAAGAGCTGGGCCGTCATCATCATTGTGTTAACAACACTGGCTATTGTGTGCCTTGTGGGGGTCCTGACTGTTTACCTTTATAACCGCCAGAGAAAGATCAGGATATACAAGCTACAGAGGGCACAGGAAGAGGCCATGAAACTCAAGGACCCGCCTCACTGAGCCACAAGGACACCAACGCCTCCCTGGACCCCCCCTGCGGGCAGCAGCGGACTGCTGCTTTTGAACTGAAGGGTAGACAGATAGCGTTTACCCTCACCCACCTCTTCAGGCTGTGGCAAGACAAGATGGTGACCTGGGGGTGCACCAATCAGACCTCCTCAGCCTCACACTTGTGGCCTCAGGACTGCATGGAGAGGACCTCACAAGATCAAGGGCGTGTTTCTGTGACATGGACACACCCACAGCCTGGGGGCCTTCAGCCAGGAAATGCTGACCTCATTACCAACTGCCCATGCTGGGGGCCCCTGCCTAAGGAGGAGTGATATCCAATAGACACAAGCAAGAGATGGAACATAAGACTACTTCCTCTGACACAGGAACCTGGGACATTGTCCCCACTCTTCATGATGATGTATTTATTAATTCAAAGTTTTACCTGGGGTTTGGGGATGTAGCTCAATCGAAGGCCCTGGGTTCGGTCCTCAGCTCCAAAAAGAGAGAAAAAAAGATTTTCCTGCTATTTATTGAGTACCTTGTACAGATACTAGAGCAGTGAGCAGGTGAACATACAGGTTCTTGTCAGGATAGTGTTGCAGGGACTGTATACACAACAGAGCCTGGAAAAAGGTTCACATGGGGCTAGGGTGCCTGTTGGTCAGGATGCTTTTCCCAAAAGAGCCGTCACAAGAATACTAAGTGGTCTAACATGGATCCCTGCTTGTCGGCCTCTCTTGGAGTCCTGTCTCCAGCACCATCAAGAGTAACCACGTCTTCACCTACATGCATTCCTATCTTTGCTCCCGGGCAATCACCACACTCAAATGTGGATGCCCACGCTTGGCAGCGTGAAATTGTGGTCAATCCCTGCGTGCCCCTGCCTAGCTCCACCTCGAGCAGAAACCCTGGAAGAAGATTCGGCAACCACTTAGGAAGGTCCTGCCAGCTGGGGGGTGGGCACAAGCCTCCCAACTCAGAAGCCTTTCGTTTGAGTCAATAAAGTGTTATTTTGGTCTCAGCCTCCTGTGAGTTTGAGAATAGGCATCACATCAGTTAGCTAGAGCCCTTTCTAAGTATTCCTGACTCCTCCACTTCCTCAAAGGGTCATCCATTAACCTAACCCTGAGTCTGCAGACTCATTCTTGATTTTGTCTTTTCTTGGTCTTTGTTTCTTAAGACAAAGTCTCTGTGTGGCCCTGGCTGTCCTGGAACATGCTGTGTGGAATGGACTGGCCTCTAACAGAGATCTGCCTGCCTGTCTCCTGAATGTTTGGATTAAAGGCCTGAGCCACTACTACACTCACTGAAATCTATTTAATGAGCTTTTGGGGCTTAAGTGAAAACGAAAGCCCAGTTCGGGAAAGTGCAACGACCTCTGGTTGACTGTGGAGTTTGATGTGTCATTCTGGAGTCCTGGGGAGGCGGTGTCTTCAACAGAGCTGCTGGGCCCACTCTGGGGTGTGGTCAGGGAGCCTTATCTCCAGGGCCAGCTGAAGCTCCCTGGCCTCCGCACCTCAGAGCGGGCTTTGTGTCATGGAGTCTGTCCTGTTCCCGTCACTTTTGCTGGTAGCCGCCTATCCGAGGAGTGGGAGCCCCCAGCACGAGTGGATGCAAAGCCCTCCCATGCCTTCCGGGACCTCACCGCCTTTCTTAGTGCATTTAAGCCCGGAGCTGGAGGCTGTGCCTCCCGGGGGCTCGGTGTGGCTTAACTGCAGCCACAGCTGCCCCCTGCCGGTGCGTTCCAGCCTGCGCACTCAGCTGCGGCAGGGAAAGACACTCAGTGGCTCGGGTTGGGTATCTTACCAGCTATTGGATGTGAGGGCCTGGAATTCCAAGGTGCGCTGCGTTGTCACTTGCGCAGGAGAAACGCGCGAAGCCACCGCCAGGATCACCGCTTACAGTGAGGGAGATGGGGGCTCGGGCCGGGGTGGGGTGAGGGGAGAAGGGTGGAGGAACGGGGTAGTTTGCAGTTGCTTTAGGAGGTGACTGCAGGTCTTACCCTCCTTGTCTTAGAACGGCCGAGAAGCGTAATCATGGAGCCTCCTGTCCTAGTGGGCCACAAGTACACTCTACGCTGCTATGTGACACACGTGTTCCCCGTGGGGTTCTTGGTGGTGAGCATAAGGAGAGGTGGCCAGGTGATTTATTTTGAAAGTCTGGAGCGCTTCAACGGTTCAGATCTGGCTAATGTCACTTTGACCTACGTGATGCGGGCAGGACCCAAGGACCTCTGGCAACCACTCACCTGCCATGCACGCCTCAATCTCGGTGGGCTAATAGTGCGCAGCAGTTCTGCACCTGTTATGCTGACGGTCCTCGGTGAGGCACCCTGCAACCTCGGGGAACTGGTGCGGGAGAGGGGATGCTGCCGTTCCAGGAGGGCCCACAGAACAGGCATGGGCTCCACTCTTGGGAGGTCCTCAGACCTCATTCCTGACTTTCACTTCCGCTCCCAGCTTTGAGCCCAGCCTCCAAAGCCTTGGCTTCTGCCTCCATCGCAGCCCTGGTGGGGATCCTCCTGGCTGTGGGGGCTGTCTACGTGCGCAAGTACCAGGTTGTGCAGACTCGGTTATAAACGGGTGTTCGATGCCTAACAAGAGGGAGAAAGAAGAAGCCCAGAGCAACGAATTCAGATACTCTTGTTAGATCAATAAAGCCTTCTTCCTCAGTCTCTGTCCTATGGTTCTTGGAGGAAATGGTTTCCTTTTTAGGGGACTCCCGCTTTCTCCAAATTCCTTGTCTAGGGGCTGAAGATTTGTAGCTCAGGGGTAGTCCGTTTGCCTAGCCTCGGTTTCAATGCCTGGTACCCGAAACAACACTTGTGTGTCTCAAGACACCTGTACAAGACCGGCCTGGAGCCCCAGAACCCGAGCTCCTCTCCGCATAGTGTTTTCCCCGGATTTATCCCTGCGGGTTAGAACGGCTAAACTGACCTCCTCTCCAGGCCCCGGGGTGTGGGGAGGGCGGACTCTTGATATGGCTTTTCCTGATTGGCTCCGCGGATACACACCACAGCTCTGATTGGAAGGTAAGTTTTCCTTCCTACCTCCTTTTCCACTACAGATCTTGCGCGTTACTAACGGAGATCAGTGGGTGGAGCTAGGCAAGAGTACCCCGGGGTTACCATTAATGAAGAGGGAGGGGGAGAAAACAAGATTGGGCGGGGCCTCCTGCGCGGAGTAGAGGAAGCGGATACCTAGAAAGGAAATCTAGCATAGCAACAAGTTAGGGATGATTGGCCAGGCCACAGGGGCTGTCACAGACTTCCACCCTGTCAACGTGTTTGAGGTCACCGAGCCAGGTATGCTAGTGGGGAGGGGTGCCAAAGCTTGGGGACATAGGCGAGGTCACAAGGGTCATCAATTGATCTCAGGTCCAGCTTGGATTGCAGAATCTCGCACTGGTTATCCAGCAGAGGCTGCGGTGCCAATGGCGAGGAACGCGCAGATGATCTCCTGAGTGACTCGGTTCACAACAGCATTGTAGACACATTCCCGCTGCACCCTGGGTAAATACAGATCAGGTGCCGGAGCCGACTCTAATTTAGACGCCCGCGAACGCTGCGCACACGCACACGTGTCCGCGACTCGCAGGCACTTGATCCCCTCCTCCTTCGCCGCGTGCGCGGAGGAGGTCTTAGGGGCGTGGCTCCCATTCTCAATCTGCTGGAGGTCAAAGCGAAGCATCAGTTAAGGGAGGCATCCCTACACCCTCCTCTTAAAACCACCTTTTCGGCATACTACGACTCCCCAAGATTCTACAAGCAACCCCACCTGCTCCAAGGGGCGCTGCTGGGAGAGGCAGAAGATGGGCGTGGCTTGGAGCCCAAGCGCGTTATCCCAGAATCTATACCTAGGATGGTGGAGTTTTTTGGGCAGGGCTTCACACCATCCCTCCCATCCTTCGCTACAGATGACGCGGGAGACCGTGGTCGCCCCCAGAAGGCTTTAAACTATTAGGCCGACCTCCACGTAGACCCTCTCCCCACTCGGGGGACTGCTCTAGCCTGGTCAGCTCGTCTGCACTAAGGCCGGGAGCAGCCCAGAGCGTGCTTGCCACCCGCCAGTTCGCCTCCCATCACCGCCTCTGCCACCGCCTCCTCCTTGGAAACCAAGTTACCAACGTTTAAACCAATCCCTGGGCGCAACTCTACCACCCCCACACTCTACCCGCTGCGCTGCGCCGCGCCGTCCTCCTAGCCCGGTTCTCCATCACTCGCGCTCCCCTCGCCTCCTGCGTTCTCCCCTCCCCGGCAGCGGCGGCGATGCCGGGGCCTTCGCCAGGGCTGCGCCAAGCGCTCCTCGGCCTCTGGGCTGCCCTGGGCCTGGGGATCCTCGGCATCTCAGGTAAGAAGAGCACGCCGGTGGAGCCAGGTGGACAAGGCAGGGACGGTTTGGAAGGACCCGAGAGGGCGGCCCGGGTGTCTCCTCCAGGCTCCGCCCTCTTCTTGCTTCCCACGCTTCTGCCGCCACCTGGAGCCCGGGGCTTCTCCCCGTCCGTCCTCCACCCCAACAAACCTCGATCACCTTTTCTGGATTCGGGGTTTGGCACCCAACCCTGCTCAAGAGACACTGTGGCTTTCCTATTTTTTCCTGCTCCGTCGTGCCCTATGGTCACGGACTGGCATCATCCCTATTCGTGATCCTCAAAGACCCCCCCCATCTCCTCAACTGTTATGACTCAGGCTCTGTTCCCCCTCCACCTGTAGCCCTAGCAACCGGCTTTCTGGGGCTTTTCCCGCCGTTCCTTTCTGGAGTCCAGCCTTGAGGCTTACTGTCCAGGTTGTTCAAGTTTGGGGACAGTCCCCTTTAAGCCTTTGGCTCAGTGTCGTCTCTACTTCGCTTTCTCCCTCCCCCAGTCCCAGTGTGTCTCCCCACCCCCAATTCCTGACGATCTGCCACAGTCTTGAGACTCACTTGGCTCCCCATCCCCCCTCTGTAGTCTCCTCCCCACTACTGACGTGTGCATCGGAGACCCCATTCTCCCTGCACCGAGTTTCCCCATCTCTGCCTTAGAAAGCAAGGCTCCCAGAGACCCCTCTGAGTGTGTGCCAGCTTCGAAGCTTGAGTGGGATGCGGGACTCCTGTGCTATTTCTTGGTGGTGGCCTCTCCTCTTCCTTGCAGAGACCCCTGATTTGGGATATAGGGACGCTAAGATTTCAGAGAGGGGGTCCCGAGGCTGAACCCGAGTTTTCCCGTGCAGCGGTCGCGCTAGAACCTTTCTGGGCGGACCTTCAGCCCCGCGTGGCGCTGGTGGAGCGCGGGGGCTCGCTGTGGCTCAACTGCAGCACTAACTGTCCGCGGCCGGAGCGTGGTGGCCTGGAGACCTCGCTGCGCAGGAACGGGACCCAGAGGGGTCTGCGCTGGCTGGCTCGGCAGCTGGTGGACATCCGAGAGCCAGAGACGCAACCCGTCTGCTTCTTCCGCTGCGCGCGCCGCACACTACAAGCGCGGGGGCTCATTCGAACTTTCCGTGAGTTCTGGGTGGTCACGCCCCATTGGTCCCTGGACCTCCCCTTCAAGCTCCGCCCACCGGCCCTCATGCCCTCCTTCCCACGCGCAACCGGGTGAGCGCTGCAGCTTACTAGAGTCGAAGTTTCGGTCCCTTGCAGAGCGGCCGGATCGGGTAGAGCTAGTGCCGCTGCCTCCTTGGCAGCCCGTGGGCGAGAACTTCACCTTGAGCTGCAGGGTTCCGGGAGCAGGACCCCGAGCGAGCCTCACGTTGACTCTGCTGCGGGGCACCCAAGAATTGATCCGCCGCAGTTTCGCGGGAGAGCCACCCCGAGCGCGCGGCGCAGTGCTCACCGCCACGGTCCTGGCGCGCAGGGAAGACCACGGGGCCAATTTCTCATGCCTCGCGGAGCTGGACCTGCGGCCACACGGCCTGGGACTCTTTGCGAACAGCTCCACCCTTAGACAGCTCCGCACCTTTGGTGAGTGTGAACCCGGACTGACAGGTTTTAAGAAGTTTAGGGGCAGCCAGGTGTAGTGGCGCGCATCTTTAGTCCCAGCACTTGGGAGACAGAAGCAGAGATAAGGCAGAGCTCTGTGAATTAAGTCCAGCTTGGACTACACTGGCTGTGTAGTGAGATCGCCTGAAGTTTAGCGCCTAGCCCTTACACTAGTATAGTTTAAGTGTTTACCTCTGTGATTTTTGTTTGTTTGTTTGTTTTTGTATTTATTTATTGAGAGAGGGAAAGAAGTAGAGAGTAAGAATGAGAGAGGGGGAGGGAGGGAGAGAGAGAGGGAGGGAGAGGGAGAGAGAGAGAATGCGTGGATGCACACGCCACGATGCATATGTGGAAGTTAAAGGACAACTTTAGTGGGAGTTGGTTCTCTTCTTCCGCCATGTGGGTCCTAGGGATCGAATCAAGTCGTCAGGCTTGGCGGCAAGCACCTGTATTCACTGAGCCATATCGCTGGCCCTTTTGTACTTTTTTTTTTTTTTTTTTTTTTGGTTTTTCGAGACAGGGTTTCTCTGTGGCTTTGGAGGCTGTCCTGGAACTCGCTTGGTAGTCCAGGCTGGTCTCGAACTCACAGAGATCCGCCTGCCTCTGCCTCCCGAGTGCTGGGATTAAAGGCGTGCGCCACCACCGCCCGGCTCCCTTTTGTACTCTTATGATGAAACCAAACAATGCATGTAAATTGTTTGGTCCACACTGAATGCTTAATAGTAACTCAAGTTCTGGTTCTTTGTCTCCCCCAGTCCTGCCTCCAATTTCCCCGAGCCTGGTTACTCCCCGATTTTTAGAAGTGGGCTCAGAAAGGCCAGTGAGCTGCACTTTGGATGGACTGTTTCCTGTCCCGGAAGCCGGGGTTTACCTCTGGCTGGGAGATCAGATACTGCATCCTGATGTGACCTTCGATGGCGACAGCCTCGTGGCTACTGCCACAGCTACGCCGAGCGCAGAACAGGAAGGCACCAGACAGCTGATATGCAGAGTGACCCTCGGGGGCGACAGCAGGGAGACCCAGGAGAATCTGACTGTCTACAGTAAGGGGAATCGAGGAGGGGCTTCACCGTCAGGGGCCACAGTCTCACCCAGGCCGAGCCTGTCAAGTGGGCGGGCCTCCACACCCGAGCAGGCAGGGCGGGAGAGTTCCAAGGCTGGAGCAGAAGGAAGGAAGCAGGAAATGAATAGGTGTGGGGGGTAAGTTACCTGAGGGGGGAGTGCCAGTGAACCCCACTTAGTGCTCCACCCCCACCCCCAGGTTTCCCTGCTCCTCTCCTGACGTTAAGTGAGCCAGAAGCCCCAGAAGGGAAGGTGGTAACCGTCAGCTGCTGGGCTGGTGCTGGGGCCCTGGTCACCTTGGAGGGAATCTCAGCTGCGGTCCCGGGGCAGCCCGCTGAGCTCCAGTTAAATGTCACGGAGAACGACGACAAGAGGGGCTTCTTCTGCGACGCTGCCCTCGACGTGGGCGGGGAGACACTAAGAAAGAACCAGAGTGCTGAGCTTCGAGTCCTGTGTGAGTGGGTGCCCACCCTGCCTTTGCCACCTCCCAGGACTGTATCTGCGACCCCATCTTTAACCTTTCTGTGTCCCCTCCGCCTCATGCCTGCAGATTCTCCCCGGCTGGATGACTCGGATTGTCCCAGGAGCTGGACGTGGCCCGAGGGTCCGGAGCAGACCCTCCGCTGCGAGGCCCGTGGGAACCCGGAGCCCTCAGTGCACTGTGCGAGGCCGGATAGCGGGGCTGTGCTGGCGCTGGGCCTGCTGGGTCCAGTGACGAGGGCCCTCGCAGGCACTTACCGTTGCAGGGCAGTCAATGGCCAAGGCCAGGCGGTCAAGGACGTGACCCTGACTGTGGAGTGTGAGTAGGGAGAGGTGGGCGTGGGCGTCTCCACACTAGAAGGAAAGAGGCCCGGCTCCAGCAGGAAGTGGTAGGGTGCTCATAAACTTCGTCTGGTGCCTGGGCACGGTCCAGGAAGGACAGCGATCAAAACAGTGTGCCTGGGACTCTTTGTGGGAACTGGTCAAAAGCACCCCGAGACCTCAGGAAAGGGGCCTGATCAACTGAGTGTATCTCCAGAACCCATGTAAAAAGACAGGAGGGGAGAACCAACTCCAGCCTCCACACATGAGCTGGGGCATGCTTTCCCATACAAATATCACACAGAGTAAATGAAGACACAAAACAGTTCAGGCAGGACTAAGGAGACACAGAGTGTGGGGGGGGGGGGAGAGGGAGAGGTGTCATAGGGGAATCAGATGGGTCTCCAGGTCTACACTTAGGCCTGGGTTCAATAAGTAGATTATTTTTTTTTCATGTATGAAGCCCTGGGTTCCACCCTCTGCATGGCATAAACCAGGCACAGTTAAAGACCAGAACTTGGGAATAGGAGGCAGAAGGATCAGGAGTTCAATTTAGTCCTCAGCTACATAATGAGTTGGAGGCCAGCCTGAGCTATTGGACATCCTGTCTTAAACAAAATCTGTTGCAGATGCCCCAGCGCTGGACAGCATAGGCTGCCCAGAGCATATTACTTGGCTGGAGGGAACAGAGGCATCACTTAGCTGTGTGGCGCACGGGGTCCCACCGCCTAGTGTGAACTGTGTGCGCTCTGGGAAGGAGGAAGTCATGGAAGGGCCGCTGCTTGTGGCTCGGGAGCACGCTGGCACTTACCGATGCGAAGCCATCAACGCCAGAGGATCAGCGGCCAAAAATGTGGCTGTCACGGTGGAATGTGAGTAGGGGCGGCTGGAGAGAAGCCCACACACGCATCCTCTGTCCTCAGTGCGAACTCCTATTTCCCTGCTTCCTAGATGGTCCCAGTTTTGAGGAGCTGAGCTGCCCGAGCAACTGGACGTGGGTAGAAGGATCTGGAAAGCTGTTTTCCTGTGAAGCTGATGGGAAGCCAGAACCACGCGTGGAGTGCCTGGGCTCCGAGGGTGCCAGCGAGGGGGCGGTATTACCCCTGGTATCCTCAAACCCTGGTCCTAGAAACTCTATGACCTCTAGTAAACTTTCCCCGGGTGTCTACCTCTGCAATGCCACCAACCGGCACGGTTCCACGGTCAAAGCTGTCGTCGTGAGCGCCGAGTGTGAGCGGGGAGGGGGAGGGGCAGGTGGGCGGGGAATGCGGGGTATTCCAGGGTCTCTGTCTTCCCTGACGCCCCTCCTTCTGGTGGCTGCTCTGCAGCGCCGCCACAGATGGATGAATTCAGCTGCCCAAGTCACCAGACCTGGCTGGAAGGAGCCGAGGCTACGGCGCTGGTCTGCAGTGCCAGGGGCCGCCCCTCTCCACGGGTTCGCTGTTCCAGGGAGGGTGCCGCCAGGCTGGAGAGGCCGCATGTGTCCCGGGAGGATGCGGGGACCTACCGCTGTGTGGCCACCAACGCGCATGGCACGGATTCACGGACCGTCACTGTTGGTGTGGAATGTGAGTGAGGATAACGCTGGAGGGAGGCAACTCACCGCTAGAAAGGGCTGGGAATGTAGTCCAGTGGGTGGAGCGCTCGGTTAGCTAGCACGCACAACGCCGTGCGTTCTGTCCCCGGTTTTCTTTCATTCTAACACTCGGGAGGCAGAGGCAGGCAGATCTTTGTTCGAGGACAGCGACAGCCCGGTCTACAAAGGGACTACAGGCCCCCCCCCCCAGGATTACTTAGTCCCTCTCTCGCTCGCTGTCCCTTTCCTCTCCACTTCAGCCATGGGGACAATCTCAAACCCATGGGAATTCTGAGGGACTTCTTCCAATACCCCTCAGTAAGAAACAAGCATTTTCGTTCCCGCAGCTGGTGGGTGGTGGGAGTCGGACTCTCATAGGAGGAAGTGGTTTGCCCGCCCATCCCAGGAGGGGTGGTCTCAGGCTGCTGGTGGACATCCCCACCCCGAGGATGCTTGATTAACGCCCAGCGCTGAGCAGCCTCTTCGTGCCCCTGCAGACCGGCCTGTTGTGGCCGAGCTGGCGGCCTCGCCCCCAAGTGTGCGGCCGGGCGGGAACTTCACCCTGACCTGCCGTGCAGAGGCCTGGCCTCCAGCACAGATCAGCTGGCGCGCGCCCCCTGGAGCGCTCAACCTTGGCCTATCCAGCAATAACAGCACGCTGAGCGTGGCAGGCGCCATGGGCAGCCACGGCGGCGAGTACGAGTGCGCAGCCACCAATGCGCATGGGCGCCACGCGCGACGCATCACGGTGCGCGTGGCCGGTGAGTGGCGGGCTCCTTGGGTGGAGGTGGGGCGAGGGACACGCAACACGGAGTGATCTAGGCCTGGGGGTGACTGACCCCGACTCTGACTCTCAGTATGCAAGACCGAAGGGGGCCGAGGCAGAGGCCAAGGGGAAGGAAGTGGAGGCAGAGAGAATTGTCAAGAGCCAGAACAATGCTGGAGGGACAGGGACACATGGGAGGTGAAGGCAGAATGAGCCAGGTCATCTGCTATACAGAGTATAAGACCGGCCTATGCCACTAAGACCTTTTCAAACACACAAACAGGAGGAGACCTAGCACAGGCCGGGGTGTGTGTGTGTGTGTGTGTGTGTGTGTGTGTCTTACTAGAGTGGGTACTAGGAGCTAAAAACACTTGACCCAGTTCACTCTCCACATGTCACCGCGGGGGAACTGGGGTCAGAGATGTCCTCAGTTTATGGTGGCCCCAGTTCTTGTCTGTCGTGGGGCTGGGGTGTGTCAGAGCTAGAGGAAGGCTGAGCTGGTCCCGCCTGACCATCCCCTTAGGGGATCAGGAAGAGTTGGGTCATTTGGAGAGTATAGTGAATCTACGGGCTTATTATCACATGGCCTAAGAGAGGTATACATCGGTATTTTGGGGTCCCCTCGATGCTGGAGATGCCTTCCTGGGACCTCTTCTTCCAACAGGCTGCAGTAGCAGGTGCATGGAGGGTTGGGGGAGACTAGGGACTTGCCCACCCTGGCGAGGATGTGCGCCCACAGGTCCGTGGCTGTGGGTCGCTGTGGGCGGTGCTGCAGGGGGCGCGGCGCTGCTGGCCGCGGGGGCTGGCCTGGCCTTCTACGTGCAATCCACGGCCTGCAAGAAGGGCGAGTACAACGTCCAGGAGGCCGAGAGCTCCGGCGAGGCGGTGTGTCTCAATGGCGCGGGCGGGACGCCGGGCACGGAAGGCGGAGCTGAGACCCCTGGCACTGCCGAGTCACCTGCAGATGGCGAGGTTTTTGCCATCCAGCTGACAGCCTCGTAAGCCAGCAGGCAGTCCCTCTCCCCGGGGGGGTCTGCAAGCATTGGGGCGGGCATATGTATTGTTCGTGCTCTTTCTTTATTCAACTCTGGGGGCATCACTTCCATTTTCTACCCATTCCCCTCAATAAAGTTTTTATAAAGGACTCTGAGTTGCTGTCTGTAATGTACAGCAATGGGGGTTGAATTCCAATCTCAAGTGACATACACCTTATTTATACATCCATAAATATACACGCGCGTGTGTGCACACACACACGGGGGTGGGGGTGGGGGATTCCAATAGCCAAGGTTGGCCTGAAGCTTCCCCTGTGGCTGAGGATGACCTTGGCCTTCTGATCCTTCTGATCTGAAGGCCTGTAATTCCAGTGAGCACCACCACACTTGGTTTTGGAGTACCGAGAACAAAACCATTTGCTTAAGACTCGGACTTATGTAACCCAGGCTGGACTGGAATTCCCTCTGTCTCCACCTCTTGAGCCAGCACTCAAAAGTTATTCATTGAGCTGATCATGGTGGCGCACGCCTTTAATCTCAGCACTAGGGAGGCAGAGGCAGGTGGATCTCTGTGATTTCAAGGACAATCTGGTCTACAAAGAAAGTTCCAGGACAGCCAGAGCTACAGAGAAACCCTGTCTTGAAAAAAACAAAAGTTACTTGTTGAGGGGCTGGAGAGATGCTCAGAGGTTAAGAGGGGATACTGCTCTCAAAGAGAACCCAAGTTCAGTTCCTGGCTCTAAGGGACCCAGCCTCCGCTCTGGCCTCCAGCTGCATTGGACTCATGTGGCCTCCACAGACAGACACATACATATACACACAGATAAAATTAAATTAAGAAGTAGTTCTTCATTCAAAGCACTTATTTATTGTTTTGCACTCCCATGTTTCTTGTATATTCCCAGTCATCTGTGCACCATGAGACCTGGAGCTGAGATTGACCTCCAGGTTCTACACAGCTTCCTGCAATGAAAGGACACTTGGGCAGGGTGGACACTTACCTCTTCTGCCCAGTCGCTGGGCTCTGATCCTGTAGTTCTCCAAGGCGGGAATGAAGGTCGTTCCCCCAGGCCTGGTTATAGTCCCAGCAACGTTCCTTTCCCAGATGCTCACTGCCACCTCGCCCCTTCCAGGCGGCCTGTGGATTTCCGGCATGAGTAAAAACTGCCAGGGCAGGTGTGAGTGACAAGGTCCTGCATTCTGTTTTGGGCACTAGAAACTGGAGACAGGAACGTCAGAAGTTCAAACTAATCCTCGGGTAAGTATCCAGTTGGGGCCAGGCTGGGGCAAGAGCAAGTCAACAGAAAATGTTAAGGGGGCTCAGTTGGTAAAGTGATTGCCACAGGATCTGTGATCAATCCCCAACACCCACGTAAAAGTAGAGGTGGATGTGGACCAGCCAAGGACTCGGTGGGTGAAGGCACTCGATGCACGCTCAGTCTGGCAGCCTGAGTTTGATGCCTGCAAGCCACGAGACGGCAGAAGGAGATGGCAACGCAAAGTGTGTTTCCGCCCCCACACACCACACACTGTGATCTCACGCCCCACAGAAGTCCCCACACACTAAGGGTGTCATGGGCATGGGGAGGCAGAAACAAGCAGATGCCTTCGGCCGTGTTGTCCACCAGTCTAGCCTGTCAGCAAGAACCGGATGGCTACATATCCTCGTGAGGATGAGCAGGTAAAAGTGCTACACACACACACACACACACACACACACACACACACACACACGCACACACACACACACACACACACACACACGCACACACTCGGCAATGGATTCCAGGCCTTGGGTCGCCTTTCCTCTCGATACCTGTGTCCACCTGGATCTCAGCTAGCCCACCAACAAGCCTTCCCATTCTGCCTGTCTCAGTCCACGTGAGCACTGATCAGCCGCGACCCCCACAGCTCAGCGCCTCCCCTGCCCCCTCCCAGAGCAGAGCAGAAGGGGAGAACAGCTGGGCCTTCTCTCAGGAGCCTCCTCCTCGTTTTCCGCTCCCTGAAAAGCAGGAGCACACAGCTCCGGCGAGGGAAGTGGGTCTAGGCAGCTCCTACCTCCATTGGTTGCTCAGATGCAAACATTTAATCAGCCAAGACAGAACAGGAAGCAGGACAGGAGACAGCAAAGCTATGCCAGGGACACAAGTAAGGCAGCCTTGGCTAAGTGTGAGCCCCTGGCGGGCTCGCCTCAATCCCCAAGTCTGCCTCCTCGAGCTTCCTCCAGGTTTACAAAACCCTGCTCTCCAGGGCAGTTCCTGTTAGTCAGGGTTCTCTGTGTAGCCTTGGCTGTCCTGTAACTTGCTTTGTAAACCAGGGTGACCTTAAACACACAGAGATAGCCTGCCTCTGCCTCCCGAGCGCTGGGATGCCCCATGGCTGGGGAGCTGAAGCTTCTAAGCAGCAGATTAGATAGAAAGCCAAACTGTGTGCGGAGGAGCTTGCGGAAGGCTGGAGAGCCTGAGGAGCAGTTCATGGAAGGCAGGCACGATGGAACAGCGCAGGTGAAGACAAAGCCTGTCCCAGGGGTGGGCAATATCCTCCCAGACTAAGGAGTTTACATTCCTCTCCAGCAAAAGGTTATGTTAGGGGTGGACATGGTTTGCCCAGTCAGGAACTTCCTGAACAGCCAGGTATGGTGAGTGGGGCGGCAACAGCCACCATGCCCACCCAGGGCCTGTCTGACCCAGGGAGCCTGCAGGTGCAGCAGGGGAAGCTGGGTCACATTCACTTTTGTAACTGAGTGGCTCTGAGCAGACTGAGTCAGGCCCGCCGACTTGGTCAGGGACAGAGACATAGGGAGGCTCTGTGGAAGAATCTGGGATATAGGAACATAAGGGGTACAGGGAGCTAATTATGTTAGTGCCTCCTTCCCATGCTTCATATCCAACCTTGATCTGTGGAGGAAGCCGCTGTGTATTAGACCTTCCTTATGTTTGACTTTAGTATCTTCCTAGCTGTGAACTTTTGGGGCCACCAGACAACTGCCTTGAACGGTTGACAACTTTCAGAGTACTTCACCAAGGTTGTCTTTGTAACCTCACTGTTTGTTATGTGATGGGGACTCAGGATGTTGCCCTGTCCTGCCCTCTAGAGGAACAGAACTTGTGTGTGTGTGTGATTACATATATACTTACAGATATATTTTATACCTGTATATATTTTATATACAACTATACAGACATGCATATATATACATATACATATATATATATATGGGATTATTAGAATGGCCTACAGGCCATGATTCAACTATCTAGTCCAGCAATGGTCATCTGTCTAAAGTCAGAAGGTCTCTAGTAGTAAATGGACGGAACTAGAGAGCACCATCCTGAGGGAGGTAACCTAGACCTAGAAAGGCAAATATAATCTGTACTCACTCATAAGTGGATACTAGACATAAAGCAAAGGAAAACCAGCCTACAGGCCACAGCCCCAGAGAACCTAGGCAACCAAGTGGACCCTAAGAGAGACAGACACGGAAATCCACCTAGGAAGGGGGGAAAACACAAGATCTCCTGAATAAATTGGGAGCTGGGGGGGAGGGGAAGATGGAATGGGAGAGGAGAGGAAGAAAGGGGAGTGGGGAAAATGCATAGCTCAATGAAACAAACAAACAAAAAATACTAGAAAAAATAAAAATGAAGAAAAACAAAAGAATCCAGTTCAGTTTATAAGGCTGGATGTCTCAGCTTGTCTTCAGTATATTCTGGAATCCCAAAGAAGCAGGCTCTAAACTGGGCGATGGTGGCGCACGCCTTTAATCCCAGCACTCGGGAGGCAGAGGCAGGCGGATCTCTGTGAGTTCGCGGCCAGCCTGGTCTACAGAGCGATAGGCTCCAAAGCCACAGAGAAACCCTGTCTGGGGGGGGGCGGGGGGAGCAGGCTCTGTGATGCCGGTGAAGGAATGGACTTGCTTCCTTCTTCCATGGCCTCTATAGAGGCAGCCACCAGAAGGTGTGGCTGAGATTGAAGGTGGATTGTCCCACCTCCAAGATCTGGATTAAAAAGGGTCTTCCTACTTCAAAAGATTTAATAAAGAGCTGGAAAGATGGCTCAGAGATTAAGAGCACTAACTGCTCTTCCAGAGGTGCTGAGTTCAATTCCCAGCAACTACAGGGTGGCTCACAACCATCTGTAATGAGATCTGGTGTCCTCTTCTGGGATACATGCAGGCGGATCACTGTATGCATAATGAATAAATAAATCTTTAAAACGGAAAAAAATCTTTAAAAAGGAAAAAAGGTGTGCACCATCATGCCCTGAAAAAAAAAGATTTAATTTAAAAAAATAATACCTCACAGGTGTATCCAGTCATTTAGGTTTTAGTTGACAACCAAGAAAGCTATCACAAGTCCACCCCTTGTCAGTTTGACAAATTCATATTTCCTTATGTCTGATTTAATTTTTGAATAAAAACAGCAACCATGTCATAATTATGCTTAACATGCTATAACTATCCCTCATACACTGAGAAAGTGTTATAAATTTAGGATGGGTGGCAATGTCCCTTGAAGGACTTTTTTTAGAATATCTAACCTAAATGTGATAATTACTGATATGCTCCTAAGTGATGCTGCGTAATAAAGAAATCACAGAAAGTAAATGTAGATATTTGTACAAACACATTCTTTTTTCTTTTTCTTTTTTGGTTTTTTAAGGCAGGGTTTCTCTTCGTAGCTTTGGAGTCTGTCCTGGAACTCGCTCTTGTAGACCAGGCTGGCCTCAAACTCGCAAATATTCACCTGCCTCTGCCTCCCAAGTGCTGGGATTAAAGGTGTGCGCCACCACCGCCAGGCATACAAACACATTCTTAACAAAATATGCCAGAAACACTTGTCAATTACAATCCTCTTTCCTGCGATGGTCACATGGCCTCAGCTGGTACTTACCACTGCCTTCCTCTGCCTCCACTCTCAGCAGCACCTCAGCAGCCTCGGCTCTTCCCTGTAGGAGTGACCCACACCTTCATTCTGAAGGGTCTGTGCCCTTTCCATCCTGTCTGCACTGGGTTGCTGTAGCTGACATTAATCACAGGACAAGGCAGCTCCAAGAGAAGCCCTCAAGGAGCTCCTGCACTCCAGACACAACCCTTCTGACCTCCATGCGGAGAGACAGCCAATCTCCCATGGTAACCTGGGTCAGCCGT